AGCATCAAACCTCAAGTTTGAGCATTTCAAGCCTATTTTCATTCAATATTCATTTTGCTTTCAAGAACACTTTTTGTGCTCAATTGTATTCATCTTTGAGTGTTCTTTTCTTTGTTCTAGAATTGTGCAAACATCTTACCTTGTGAGGTTTTCTTGTAAGTTTGCAAATTTGTAATCTTCTCTTTGAGAAAAGAGTGTTCTCAAGAGTTGGGGTATACTCTTGAGGGAATTGTAAGGTTATCTCTTTGGCCTCAAAAGAAATAACAAATTAGTGAATTTGTTGGAAAATCCTTAGTGTGGATAGCTAAGGTAGTGGACGTAGACTTTGTTTGAGAAAGTCGAACCACTGTAAATCGCTGTGCAATTACTTTCAATTTTCTGCAAAAGCTTCCACAAATTTTTTATTGCCAATTCACCCCCCTCTTGGCCAATTTCGTCATTCGATTAACTCAACAAAGCCCTTTCAAAAAGCTGTTTACCAAACACCGAAAATAGAAGATTTAATTATCAACCAACAATTTATGCTCAAATAAGCTTAAAACTCTTCAAAAAATTGTTTGTCAAACGCTAAAAAAATAGAGGGTTGTAACTATAAGTATTTTCGAACTAAGATGACATATATTAACTTGTGTAAATAAGAGTGTGGTTTAAAGAGGTATTTTAAAGATATTTGGTATCCAATTACACCACTTTCCCATGTTTGGTTCAAATTTTTCAAGGGAATTGGAACCCATCATGGCTTCAACTTTCCATCAAATGAGTGAAAGTGAATTATATCCATTCTATGATAGAATTTAATTCCCTTGTTGGAGGGAATTGAAATTTGATCATATTACCTTCATCAATCTTTTGGTAACTTATTCATATATTGAATAAAAATATTTTTTTATTATTTCGGGTCGGGTTTCTAATTCATATATTCGGGTCGGGTCGGGTGAAATTTTATTTTGGTCGGGTTGGGTCGGTTGTTTTAAGTGTGATATTCGGGTCGGGTCGAGTTCGGGTTTAGAGTGAAAAAATCCCGCCCGAAAATATATATAATTTTACCTTATATATTTAGGAATAATTACAATAATACCCCTATGTATATAATTTTTTTCAATTAAGTCATTGTTTTTATTGAATAAAAATATTTTTTTTATTATTTCGGGTCAGGTCGGATTTCTAATTCTTATATTCGGGTCGGGTCGGGTGAAACTTTATTTTGGTCGGGTCGAGTCAGTTTTTTTTAAGTGTTATATTCGGGTCGGGTTGGGTTCGGGTTTAGGGTGAAAAATACCCGACCCGACCTAAAAAATATATAATTTTACCTTATATATTTAGGAATAATTACAATAATACCCCTATATATATATATTTCCAATTAAGTCACTATTTTTATTGAATACAAATATTTTTTTATTATTTCGGGTCGGGTGAAACTTTATTTTGGTAGGGTCGGGTCTCGGATGGAGGTTCCCTTGTTCTCGGGTCGGGTCGAGTGGACCAAAAACCCGACCCATGGCCATCCCTAATTGGGATGATTTTAACTTATGATGTTTATTAGCATGATTTTTATAATTTATTAAAATGAATAATCAATCAATAAAATTAATTTTTTTTTAATTTTTTATAATATATTGCTATATGTAATTTATAAAACAAACAAAAATTAAGAAAAAAACAAGAAGGGTAATCTTATCATTTTACATTACTAAAATCAAATTCATCTAACATGTCTGCGAACCAAACAGAATATGTAATTAAATTCCAATTCAATTTCCTACCAACCAAACAGAATATGGAATTGGATTCCAATTTCTGACAGATTTCAATTCTTTCACAGATTCCAATTCTCTCAGAAACATTCCAACGAACCAAACGACACCTTAATTTCTTCTACTTGAGCTTACTTAAGATTTAAAATAAAATTAAATTTTAATTATGAAAATTGAGTCGGCTGTAGTAATTTAAACTTTTAAAGACTATTGGTTTAAATGAATTTGAACAAATAATTAAAATTAATTATTAATTTTTTTTAGTTTAATAAAGCTTTAACATGAAGCTTTTGTACCTCAGTTGGTTAGAGTACTCGTTTAGGGAGCAGAAGGTCTTGAGTTCGACTCTCAACAAGAGCAAAATTATCCTTACTAAATTAATGTTATAAGTATTTTTAATTTTAGAATGATGTTTATATTTAAATTTGTAAATAAAAATAATTGGTGACTAATTTAAGTGAATTTGATTGAGTAATAAAAATTAATTAGCAAACTCATTTTCTAATTTAATTGTGAAGCTCTTGTAACTCAGTTGGTTAGAGCACCCGTTTAGTAAGCGGGAGGTCTTGAGTTCGACTCTCAATAAAAGTATTTTCAAATTGTTGAACCAGTGGAGAGAAATGAGGGGTAAAATGGGTTAACAGCCTCAGCCCCTGAAGTCTCTAAAATTTCTAAAATTGAAAATTTTTAGAGTTTAGTGACCAAATAGAAGTGAAGAAAATAGTTGAGTGATGAATGATGTAATTTACCGAATTTATAACAGCATGAATTAAAGGAACCGTTGATTAGAAGTCCACATTGAGTTCTTTTTTCTAGTTAGAGGGATACATTGATCGAAAAAATAGGATGAGGGTTTGAAAATTCAAGGACCTTGGGTGTCTTTCTGCCTATTAACGGATTTTTTTATATTTAATATATATATATGCATACTCTAAAATATATTTTTAAATCCGTCGCTGTCTTGAGTTCAATTCTCAACAAGAGTATATTGATAATTTAATTCGAGTTGGTCACAAGTGAATTTTATACCCTTATCGCTTCAAGTTCTTGCTAAAAAACTTACGTGTGAAACAGAATTATATCATCAATAAAAATTAAAATAATAATAATAATAAAAAAAAACTATACGAAGTTTTACCTTGTGGTTTTCCCATGCATTCCACGGCTTTTAAGTTGCTGATTCGAGCCTTACAGCCTCTATATGGTAAAATTTTTAGTTTAGTCCCTTTAACATTTAAGGCTTTAAGATAAAGCAACGGTTAAATTTAACTTTGGCCTTCCTAAATGATGAATTTTAATTTAAATGTTTTGAAAATTATAAGATAAAAAGTGATAAAATCATATTTTAGCCTTTAAATGTTATAATTTCCTTCTAGCCCCCAAAATTTTCTTCCTTCACCCCTTCCTCCACATGTTTTAGAAAATAAGTCACACCAAATCATTTGAAGACGTGAAATGCTTGACTTCGGAATTGAAAAATATATATTTCTAAAAGATAGAGTACTAAGAATCATCAAAGTGAAATAGAGGGACTAAATCGTATCCAGAACGCATAGTATGGGGGCCTTTTACAGAGTTTGACCAAAGTGAAAATGAAAAAGAAAGTAAAATGAAACGGCGGCGTTTAAAGGATTTTCATGGCACACCGTCTTCTTGGAGTCTTGGCTTGTATATCAAGTTCTTTCAGTCAGAAACACTCCTCTGCTCCCCTTGTCGAACATCATCAGATGGAAAATCAAAAACCAAAACAAAGTTAAAAAAAAATGGATCCTTCAACACAATCTCTTTCTTTTCTTTTTCTAAAAAGGGTGACGAAAAATTTTGAAACTCGAAGGCAAATTACAGGGAAAAAGCCTGATTATTACAATTTTCTATTCAGAAAAATAAGCTTTAACGAAAATGGCGAGATATGATCGAGCTATTACAGTTTTCTCCCCGGACGGCCATTTGTTCCAAGTGGAGTACGCTCTCGAACCCGTCTGTAAGGGTAACGCCGCCGTAGGTGTCATCGGCACCGATGTCGTTGTCCTTTGCGTCGAGAAAAAATCCGCCGCCAAGCTCCAAGACTCGAGGTACAAATTCCCTTTCAAATTATCTTCTCTGGTTAGGGTTTTTATAAGTTAATCTATTGAATTGGCACTTTTGTGATAATGGGATGCTTCAAATTTTATGCTTACTATGATTCTTTTATTTCTTGTACTAACAGAAGTGTTAGAAAGATCGTGTCTTTGGATGATCATGTTGCTCTGGCTTGCTCGGGTTTAAAAGCCGATGCTCGCGTCCTGATTAATAGGGCTCGAATTGAATGCCAGAGCCATAGGCTTACAGTTGAGGATCCTGTAACTGTTGAATATATAACACGGTACATTGCTGGTCTGCAACGGAAGTATAGCAGAGCGGCGGTGTTAGACCGTTCGGTCTTTCGACGTTAATGTCGGGTTTGATCCCTATACCGGCGTTCCTTCTCTTTACCAGACTGATCCATCTGGAACATTTTCGGCTTGGAAGGCCAATGCAACCAGAAGTAACTCTTAACTCGATGAGGGAGTTTCTTGAGAAAAATTATAAAGAAACTTCCGGACAAGAAATGGTGAAGTTAGCGATTCGTGCTCTGCTCGAAGTAAGTTTTGCTTTCCACATGTGCATGTTATGGATTGAACTTGGTATTTTTCGATTAGCGACAAGAATTTGACAACTTAAACTGTTTTCCAAGTTCGATTTGCCTGTCTTGAATCCATGGTGTGTGCTATATGCTTTATATGAAATGCCCTTCTAAGGCTGTTAGAAGGGTCTCAGTGTTTCATAAGTGTTTGTTAGATATACTTTACTACGGCTGTTATAAGGGTCTCAGTGTTTCATAAGTGTTTGTTAGATATACTTTGTAATGATATGCGTGGAGCTGTTTCTTCTTATACAATTGGGTTGTCGAGAGTGGGGGAAAGAACATAGAAGTAGCTGTGATGACTAAAGAGCATGGACTGCAGCAACTAGAAGAAGCTGAAATCGATGCCATTGTTTCTGAGGTCGAAACGGAGAAAGCAGCTGCAGAGGCTGCAAAAGAGGCCCTGGCCGCCCCGAAAGAAACCTAGTTCAGTATCTCATATCCCCATCGCCCGGCCCAGTTTGTCCTTTAGTTCTCCCTTGAAATGTGATTCTGTTATTTTGATTGGTTGGACATGTTGAATTTTAACAAGTTTCAGAACTTATTTCCGGCAGCATGCTTTTGCTGTTGGTACTTGATTGTTGTCATTTACTTAAAATAGAAGACCTTTAATATTGTCATCCATTTTACGGCCAATAAGGCCAAAATACGACAGGATGTCATGTTTGAGAAAATCAACTACATTACTAGCCAGATGATACTACTAAGTTCTGCTGATAATAGATGATGTTCTGTTCTGTTCTGGAAAGACGGTAATACTAGCTTTCACTTCATTTTTTTGCGGACTTCATAAAGGTAGCTTAGGATCACTACCGCAGCGGCAATGGCAACCCCAACAGCACTCTGTGCCAATACGGTGCTGTCTTTTACGATTGACTTGGAGCGAGCGGAATTAGGAGTAAACCCGAGTTCCGAAAGCTTCTTGTGAGATTCTGCGTAGTCTTGGAAGAATGCATCCTCGTCCTGCCGAAATGCCAAAAAGGGGAGGAATATGTTAAAAGGATTGGTCACATTCCAACACTTTCAATCAATCAGCCATGTACCAGCCTAAACCGTATTGAATGCCAAGGCAATTACAGTACAAAATTAGCAACACCCTCGAGATCTCTCTCGATGTATAGGTAAGACAAATGGAAGCGGTTCAGTAATAGTGTTACCTTGGCATAGAGCTCTACATACTTGCGGAACTCAGGGTCCTCTAACAAAGCCTTGTCTGTTGGAAGTTTCAGAAGCCCTTCTGATTCAACTTTTAGCAGCTCCCTGGTAAAATAAATAGTAAATGGCTTCAGATAAATTTTACGTAAGAAGGAAACTTGATACCTAGCAAATCACACATTTAATCTTACACGAAGTAGGAGTTATCAAACTTCAGAGGTTCGTTGGTCCAAGGGCCATCAAAACCTGATCTCTCTGGATGAGCCCTTCCCTGTAACACCCAAGCCACCCCAAAAGGTTTGATATTGGTCATATAAAAAAACAAACCCAGGCATAGAGAAAAACAGAATAAGATTTGTCAGGAAAATGTACCAGAGTATGACCCCCAGATAATGCCACAATATCCTTGTCAGATAGACCCATTCGATAGAAGATGTCCCTCAGATGAGGTGCACCTAACGCCGTGATTCAGAAGGGAGAAAAGAGATGCATAATTTAGGGGACACAAGTTCATACTATAGAAACATAAGTTTAGACAAGCGTGCAAACAAGCTGATAAGATGTGGAGCAATGTATACAAAAGTTTCCACTGCTACCGTGTTAAGTGCAACAGAGGACTACAAAAGTTTCCAACAACTTTGTCGGAGCATGTCCAAGTAGTTTCTAAAAACAACAGCACAATTGGCCAATGAAAAAAAAATTGCATTGATACAAGTGCCACACCAATCTCTCCATGTATAGAATATTTGCTCTAATGTCACTATTGTTAACCAATCTAATTTGTCACCTGAATGGTACAAAAAGGCTCCTGAGAATAGCTTGCTGCTGATAGAAAGACTTCTAGTAACTGTGGTCCAAGTACTAGAATTCTTGGCTAGCCTTTAGACATACAAATATGACCCCAAAAAAAAAAAACATACCACTAACCTGAGGGTTCTCTTTTATTAGTGGAATCTAAAACAACCAGTAGTGAACTTCTGGTTGACAATCCCAACCCAGACATTTATTCACCAATCTACCATGGTTCTTAGAGAAATAGAATGTGGAACAGACCTGGTTAAAGTAACCTACACTCGATTCAAAATAAGCATTTCTTGGAAGAATTTTTATTTTGAAAAACAGACAGCAAAAAATGCTAAGAATTCATAACTTGTTCTATGAAGCTGATATTTAGTTCACTAGAACTGCAGGAAACACAGAATGCAAGAAACCACACAAATACTAGCCAATAGTAGCAAGATTCCAAATGCTTTGAGCACCATTTCTTCCTTCCAATTGGAAGAAACCAATGACAAACAATTAAAAAACTAAGCAAAAGATATGACTAGATTTACTAGATAGATAATCAAGTTATCAAAATGTACAAATATTCAAAGCACTCAATTACCCAGAAACCAGAGTTCACAATTCCTAATAAGTGGAAAAAATTAATTTTTTTTGTTCCATAAATGGCTTCAGAAATTTATTTTACCTCCTTTAGCATCTGGAAGTCGCCCTTCCCTGGGGCAAATGTTTGAATCCTATTTAAACAAAACATGGTTAATCAAATAAGTAAAAGAGGAAACAAGCAACATTTGCAAGATAAGGTCCCTACGCAATACCTTTCTTCCTGGTACAAAGTCAATAGTAGGACCTCCAGTGACTTCAACAGCAACAACACCAGCAAGCTGGAATTGAAAATGATACAGTAATGAGTAATTCATCATCCAACACATAATCAACAACTTAAATTTAAACCAAGTGCAGCCACTGGATTGGTGCAATGCATGATGACACATACGTGAAGAAAGGGAGCATTACCATTGTAAGTATAGCAAACATTCTCAAACTCTATGAGACTGAGACCTCTCAAGTAATTACTCACTCATATTTTAAAAATACAAACTACTTTTTTACTAATCACAAAATTAACTTAATTTATAACCTCCATTTTGTTATTTTAACGAAATACTACAGTGACTAAGCTATCCCCTCAAACTACTTCTTTCTTGTTAAGTACCAGCTATCCCCTCAAAATCTAATTCATAATGATCTTATACAATTCTAGACCTACCTAATTATTAGTTTCGTACCATACTGTATTTAGTTGACATACTACTACATTACAGAGATAATCTAGTTAATTAAATAAGAAAATATGCCTTCCTCTGAAGAACCTAAACTGCAGAACTTTGCCTAAAGCTCCAGCAACGATTTTTAGATGATTTTTTTTGGGATCTAATCAGCGTGTCAATGTTTCTTTACTTCCCCAACGTGTTCAGAGCAGAACAGAAACAGAGGAAGCATGCAATGATATCCTTTAAAAGGCAAAACAATTAGACATTAACACACAGATTAGTTCCGAATGATGCAATTAAATTTGGAATAAAATGCATGCACTCTTTCAACTTCAACTAATCAGTTTGTTAATGTTTCTTTATTTCCCCAATGTGCTCATAGGAGAACATAAGCAGAGGAAGCATGCAATGATATCCTTTAAAAGGCAAAAAAATTAGACATTAACACACTGATTAGTTCCAAATGATGCAATTAAACCAGGAATTAAATGCATGCTCTTTTTCAACTTCATAATTACCTGGAATAGGTCTGCGTATGTGATCTTAGGATGTTTAGCCTTCACTTCCTCTGAAATGTGCCAAACAGAATACTCTTAAGTCAGAATAAACAAATAAGTGCAAACATATTTTAGTTTTGAGATGTATATTCTAACACAAAGTACCATACCATACATATGAAGATATGCTACGAGATAAGCATGAAAATATAAAAATGTAGCATATATATACAAAGTTTCAAACATTTTTACAAATTCAGCTCAGATGGTAGCTGGTAAAATTGACACCAACAAATTACGAAGATTGCCATCTTTCTACCACCAACTTCCAAGGGATGACACAGTTGAAAACCAGACAATAGAAGTTCACCTTTAAAGTTAAAAGAGACAGTTCTTCCAAGCAAGGCAACAAACAAAGTACCAACCAAATGACTGAAACCTAATGGAGCCACACAAGTCCAAGCTTAAGTAGTGAGATCAAAAGAAGACCACTTCAATCACCTTTTAGTATCTTTCCAATTTTCATTAGGATCATACAAATTACATTACCCTGAGCTAAACTTTTACTAAGAAATTTCAGAAGATCTGGCATACTCCTTTTTAATAATCAAGTCACGCTGACATGTGAAAACGGTTCTGTTAAAACCTATGTTAACGCCGCTCCTCGGCATAATTGGAAATTGGCACTTGGCAGTTCTGCTTCCATCTTATAAAGATTTCTAACCCTTAGAAAAGGAAAAATACAAACCCTCTATAGTGAGTGCAAAGTTAACAATCATTTCAGCATTCCAGATTTTGAAATCTATATACCAACAAGAATGGACTTGAAGTTGCAGCAGAGTTGTTCATATATCTCATTCCTTTTAAAAATAGAATCATTATCATATCTGGAATAGTTGAAGCTAAAAGCTCAAAAATTCATTTTGAATGTCAGGTAATAGACAAATGGAAAATGTATTTAAACTATGATACTGCGGACATGATATAAATCCCTAAATATAATGATGAAGTAAGACGATCTATATTCTTCCAATCTTGAAATGCTCGCAAGACTACATCCTTAGTTAACTAATAGCAGCTATGGGTCGAACTATTGCATTCGATGTTAATTATCAATTAAAAAACTAATCCATAAAAATTAATGAATATAACGGTTATATACCTAGATTGAAGAATTAAGAAATTAAAAAAAATAGTATTAGAATCAAACCACAAAATTCAAGAGCAATTTTCAAGCCGTTATTGGCGCCGTGTGTGAGCTCTTCTTCATTCCTTAAGGATCCATTTGGACCACCAGTCTTAGTGCTCACATCGTACGTCCCTGCGTCGTGCCACCTAAAACAACAATCAATTCAAAATAATAATTTCATCAATACAAAGCTAAAATTAGAAAAAATAGTAATAATATTACTTCGCATCCGTTTTCAGATTGATATGTTATTTATTAATTAGCAGCACCACATTTCCTTTTTCATCTTGTTAGGTTTCTTGAAACCTTTATAGAAACAAAAAACGGAGAAGAATAAGAAGATAAAGAAATACATTAAACGAAGCATGATATTTATCGGGAATTCAACAAAGAAAAAAGGCTAAAATCAAAAAGATGAAACTAATAATAACATTCCTTCGTCTCTATTTTCAGGTTTATCTGTGAAATTTCTTGATCATTAACATTAAAATTCCATTCCCTTTCTTGCTATAGGTCTTGATTCTTTTACATAAACAAACAACGAAGACATAGAAGAAGGGAAAGAAAGTACGCTAAGCGAAGCATGATAGGAGCGCAGTTCTTCAAGGCAATAAGAGCGCGGAGGTCACGACGAGCTTTGTCGATCTCCTTGAGATATTCGGTGTCGACCACTGGAAACGCCATGGAAATGCTTTCAAGCTAGCTTCGATCAGCTCTGGAGAGTAGTAGGTGAATTGGTGGAGGAGGATCTTTATATATATATATATATATATATAGGGATTTTACGTTTGTGTGCGTGTGAGCATCTTTCTTGGGATTTGGAAAACCAAAAGAAGATAAGCCAATGAAACGGGGTTAGATATGGTTGTATTGTTTGGAGCCTCGGGAGTTGTACTCCCCTGTGGTCGACTTCATTTTAAAATGTATAGGATCACAGTTGAATCGGAAGTCGAAAGTTTATCGGATAACAACAATTTCATTAATCATTAACAAAAATATTAATTTAATTAAAAATTAGGGTTAACTTACATATAATTATTTATGTTTGTGTTTTGTTCATTTTTTTGTAACTGATTTAAATATACATAAGATATGATGACCTTCTTTCTTATTTAATTAAGATGTGATTTTAACTGCCGTTAAATATTTTGGTATAACCACACATTTAATCACTATTATTTACACATTCTCTTAATGTAGTCATATTTTTAATAAATTAAAATAAACTTAATCATCCGATCAAATGATGTCACTGTCATTGGTACTACGTATCGTGTCGTGTGTCACTATTCAGTTAGAATACTAACTTTATTTTATTTTATTTTAATTTAACAAAGCAAAGTAAATTGGTGGAAAATAAATATATTAAATTAAAACAAAGTTAATTTTCCAACCGAATGATGACACATGACACAAGTGACGTTTTGATATCATTAGACCTTATTGAGCCGGGAAGGAACCCGTCAAATTCCGATTAAATTAACATCCTAATGTTTTGTTCACTTTTTTTTATTGAATTTTAAAAAATATAAAATTTGATCACTTTCATTTTTATTTAATTAAGATATAATTATTAAAACATTAATTATTGTTAATTTGATGATATGTCACGCTAGTTCGATATTTGTCGGTCTTCGAATGATGAATTTTGTTCGGGTGAAGGAAACCCAACAGGCAAACGAGAAGGCGGAGCGTGAAGGAGAAGAAGTAAAAGGCTAAATTAAAAATTTGTCCCTAAAATACTTTAAATTCACAAAAAAAAGGTATACAATTAGTATTTTATTTAAAATTCAGTGGTTAAAATAAAATTAAATCATTTTGCTAAAGTGACATGTTATCAAACTAACGACAACCAATGTTTTAACGATCACACTTTAATTAAATAAAAACGAAAGTGATCAAATCTTATATTTTTTTAATTCAATGAAAAAAATATATAAAAACATAAGCGTAAGTTATCAATTCTATAGTTAACACTTTAATCTTTTATTATGTTATCATAGATGGGGTTTATTATATTAATTTTAAAAGTATTATTCATTCACTTAAATGACTTGCCTAACAATAATAATATGATTTAAGTTTTAACAAAAATTATAGGCTAGAGAAAGATTTGTTCTATTTTTCTTTCTTTTTCTTTAGGTGTCGTTAAACTCTTTTCTTCATCATTTTTATGATTGACGGCGATATCAATTTTGTCGTTGATTGCAAATATTCATTGTTTTTCTTTTATTTTATTATAGTGTATCTTAATTTTTTATTGTTTCTTATTTTTAATAATTCAGCCTTTTTCTTTCTTTGTGATATGTTATTCTCTGTCTTTATAGCACGTTTTGGGTCATTTGGCCGTTATTTTCGTTTATCTTTTTTTCAGGGTTGAATTTGACATTGACACGACTGATCAAGATGTTGCTTTATTTGTTATCATACTGATCTTTCTTCTTTTGGACCCTCAGGTTGGATTTGGATACACAATTTACATTTGTGGATAGTATTTTCACGTCGCTCAATTCTGATTCGTAATTTGTTGATGACCTTTCAATAACTTCATCCCTTTTGTGGTTTGTTTGCCGATGATGTCAGATATGTTCGTATTTACCTTTTATCCGAGTTTATTTGATTATTTTTTTTTTAACTTTTTCTTTGTATAGTCATTATGATTTTAAGTAACTAATTTTCTCGTATTTAGGAAAATATCGTTATTATGTGTTTAGTTTACTTTTGTGGTTGTAAACTTCATTGTAATTGGAATATTTTCTATTTTTAATCAAATTAGCAGCTTCTATTAAAAAAACAATAATATTATGATTTTATTAAAAAAAATATCATATAACATACTGCTTATTAAAAATATCCGATAATTATTTTATTAACAATTTTAGTTTCACTCTCAAACTATATCCTTCATAGTTTATGGACTAATTTGGAATGAAGGATATAGTTTTGGGGTGAAACTAAAATATTTAAAAGTTTGAGGGGAAATTTAGAATGATAATCATAGTTGAGGATCAATTTAGAAAAGGAATTATAATTTGAGGACATATAATGCAATAACTCTAAAAAAATGTCTTAGCTTTATCATTTTGATTGAAATTGATTATATGGTTACATTTACACACATATAATCAGCTAAAAGTGATTTTGAAAGAATAAAAACATATCGAGCAAGGGAAGGAAGAACTCAATCATCCCATTCCAAATGTTAATGTTCCTGAAAATCGTTGAACTCAAACTAACCACACTTGACTTGGACGGCCAATTTCTTCTTCGAATCGGGACAGGCACCGTTTTGATCGTCGAACTGCTCTTTGTCCACCGGAATCCGGCAACTCCGTTTTCCCAAGCACAACTTCTCCACGACTTGCTTGGAATTCGGAGACGTACAATTCCCGATAGAGTAGCTCCCACATGACCCGAATGGATCCCCAAAGCTGGCGAACTCGACGGCGACGATCTTCTTCTCGTTCGGACACTTTATGTCTGCTTTGGGCTCCAAGTCATCCGTTTTTGCCCGTAGGTTACCGTTTTTGATCTCGTATAACCTCGGCGAAGGCGGATGGTTTTCGGTTACAGAACTGCAGACGGTGTCCCTATCGATAAGTACGATCTCGACGTCCTTAGGGTTGCCTCCGTCTTCCTCGAATATGACGATTAGGTTCTTTGATGGCTTCAAGAACGTTCTCGGGATATGGTACCTGAAATCACGAAGCATTTAGTCGGGACTCGATGCGACGACCGGCATATGTACCGTGGTTTATACGTACTCGGATTGAGTTGGCTCTTTAAGAACGGACAAGTAAGACATCCAATATCGGCCAATGCTTTTTCCATTGATCCACACCATGCCTTTGCTCATACCAGTCAGTCTAATGGCTACTGGGTTGGTTCCTTCAGGTGCATCAAAATATCCCTGCAAAAACAGCATGCTATAGCATTTTTTTTAACGGAAAAAAATCCCAGGATTTGTCAATTTATATTTTACCTGGTACCATGTTAGAGGGCTTATGTCATCGGTAGGAGTTGCCCACTGTACCGATTGTGCGCCTTTGTCGGTGTATATTTGCTTCTTTTCTCCTTCGAGTGCCACCTTATGCTCCCAGCCAATCGTTGTTATATCGACTGTACCGGTGTTCAAGCCGAGTATAGTGATCGAACGTGGTCCGGCATACCTACGCTCCATGTAGGCACCGCTGTCCTTTAATTCGGACAAGAAATCTCATCGGTATGCAATATTTTAAGCTTCATTTGAAATCATTCAAGTCTCAAAATGGACTCACCTGAAGTCCCACTGTGTAAGCTAATATATGAATAGTGTTTTTCCCAGTCTCAAACTTTGCATCTTTCTGATACACAAAGTTCTTCTCGATTTTGCTACCGTGTCCAGAACCCACGTATTCACCATTCACAAAGAGGAGGAGACCGTGGCCCTCGCTTGCGACCCGAACGACCGGTCGGATTCCCTTTTTAAAGGGTAAGTCGTTTTCACTCAAATCAACACTGGTCGAGTACCAAACGTAGTCTGTTGTATCTTTGGTCAAGTGAAAGAGCTCCAATGGATGGTCTTCCTTATGTTCGAATCGGCTCGGAAGGGCTTCCTTGTACATCCTCCACTCAATGTTGTTAGCAACTTTTGATCTCAATATATTTCTCGTGTTGTGTTGTGTTGTTATCTGTGTTGAACGATCAAATAATGTTTAACCCTGTGGTTACTTACGTGTTAAACAAACAAGCATGTAACTGGAGATATCAGATGATGTAAAAAAAGGGCTTCGGAGTTAACCAAATGTGTGTTGAAAACCATGGTCTTGCAGTCAGGAAGGACACCGATGGATTTAGGTGGCAGATAATATTTCCCTCCCCTGAAACTGACCGTAGCCGGTTTAGCGATTGCATTGTTGGCTAAGAAAGCTGCACAGTTCGATGTTCCCGGTTGCTCCCAGATTCGAGCCTGCAATGCACAATACCTTAATCTCTATGTAGCCATAATCGTTTTCTCAGTGTATGTATAATTGCTTACCTCTACCTCGGGGCCTAACATTACAACAGTAGGAGACCCATAAAACAGACCCCTCCTGCACAACTTTATGGCCCTATGAGCGTCCTTGAGATGACCATATTTCGGTTCTCTTATTAAGCCTACAGAACATTCACATAACAATGTGTTATTCTCCGTATAAATGACTTCGACCCGATGATCATCAGATATACAATGTTTCTTAATCCTACCGAATTCATCAAGAGGGGCTTCGTCGTAGTAACGAGTTGACACGAAGGCAGCGCTCATTCTGCCATAGTTTGTGCCACCATAGTACTGCAAAACACGAAAACAACCACCGGTAATAGACCTATGTCTAAAAAGGGTGCCATTTAGTGAATTGCCAAGCATGGTTCTACCATATAATAGTTGACCAAAGTTCCGTTCTTAGAGAACCACCGAACGACAGAGAATGCCAAATCTTCAGCAGATCGTTGAGATGGTGGATCTCCGAATACTCGGTACTGTGCAGTCCAGTTCTCGGTCCACAGGTAAGGCTTGTTGGGTTTGTTTGGACCCGTGAAAGTATCTCCACAGTGTCTGCCATTGCAGGAATTGATCTGCAGAACAACGAAAGTGTAAAATTCCTAATAAGCTATGAAAAATTACATTTTCCATGTAGTTAAACTTGATGAACATACAACTGGATCTGGAGCATCCTTCTGCTTGCACATGATCCACGGGACACCGATATTCAAGTCGAGGGCCATCTTCGCAGCCCATTGAACATAACTGTCTCCTTTTTGTCTAAATGCTAGTTGAATAGTGTTGTATTCGTTCTCGATCTAGGAAACATACAATGAATCAAAATTAGAATCAGTGGTGTATATATATGTTCTAGGGGGAGATTTAGAGTAAAATCAATCAAACCTGAGCTACAATGATAGGTCCTCCTTGAGAAGCAAACAACTTCTCCGCCTTCAGCTTGTCGACGATCATGGTAACGAACTTCTTCATGTGGTGCTGCACAACATAAAGGAGTTAGTTTCGAATGAGGTATCGGAACTTTCGAGTCGCCGTATGATTTTTGCTTATGTTACATTACCTTGAATGGCTCATTATCTGAACGGAATACAATGTTTGGAACGTCTCTTAGCCAATAAGGCAATCCTCTGAAAGTTCACCATGAAAAAAGCTACAACTGTTAAGAGCGCGTGAATAAGATTGAATAAGAATATGTGAAAGTGTTTCAATCTTTACCCATTGTTCCATTCAGCCTGCACAAATGGACCGAGCCTCACGATCGCCGACATCTTCTGCTTGGCGATCAGCTTAATGAACTTCACCAAGTCATACTCTCCTTCGAAATTGTACTTCCCCTGCTCCGGCTCATGGCAGTTCCAGAACACGTACGTCTCGATCGCGTTGAGGCCTCCACGTTTAGACTTTACAATGAGATCCTCCCAGTACTGCATCCCCAATAGTTCAGCACAACCTATGAAAACTCAAAGATACATATGTGTATGTATGTACGCTAGCATAAATCATACCTCCGGGGGACTGCGAGGGTAATGAATGGCGCCCGAAAAAACGAGCGCCCTTCTGCCATCGACGATCAAAGATCGTCCATCGTACGTGACGCTCGTGTTCCCGCTCCCCGGAACATTTATCTCTTCACCCGTGTTATCATCTTCGTCGTTGCCACCATCGTCCTTATCGTTGTCTCGTGCAGAACCGGAAGTAATCAACAAAATCGACAAAAAGGTTACGAACATGGTACGGATCGATATCGGCATTGCCTTCGACGTCATTACTCGATATGCTCCCGGTCCAAAAAAAATATTTTTCTCGGACCGGAAAATTAACAGCTAGCGGATACTAGCAATCTTAGAACCGTATAATGGGAAGAGCTCTACGGTTGGAAAGCTCATTGGACAATGTACGTGAAGAACACTCATATAGGAAACTTGGGATTTCTGTTAATCTGTTGCGATTATGAAGCCATTTCATTCACCATATATAGCAAATCTTTGACTTTGTATATGATTAAATTGATTAGAAATCTCCTCCCATTTTTAAATCTTTATCTTATTATTCGAATTCAATTGGATTAAATTTAGATAATACATTTATCTAAAAAAATAATAATAAATGAATGTATATAAAAATACATCATATATGCACGGATCAACTTACCTCAATGGTTAAAAGAATCGTTGTTGTTCATAGAGATTACGGGTTCAAGCATCAACGATTCCAGCAAGATGCAAACTTGATTATCCAGTTCTTTCTGTGGTCTCTAACAACTCCTCCACAAGTTGCCTCCCCTGAGTGGGTTATGTGGCCACCATCTGTGTTGATTTTGATCCAGAATGATTCTCGGGGTTTTTTATCCTATTGATATTCCTTATTTTAAACCATCGAATTAGATTTAGATAATGCAAACGGTCTTATCTATATTTTGTTAAAATTCTTTGGTTGGATTTTTAATATTTTTTATATAGTCTTTGTATTATATCATATACTAATTTCTTACGTTAATGCTTGTAAAAATATTCTAATTATATATTTAATTTATGATAATAATTATTTAAATTATTAGTTTTGGTCCATTTTAGTACTTAAATTTTTAATTTTTTTAGAATTTAACGTTAAATTTTGAACAGAAACTAAATAAAACAAAAACTAAACTTTAGGAATGATTTTGAAAAAAATTGAAAGTTTAGGTATTAAAACAGATTAAAACTGATAGTTTAGGTCTAAACGCGTAATTTATCGTATTTCTTTTTCATAAAGTATTTTTCAAACATAGTCCCTGGAGTACCAAAAAATTGCAAGCAAAATGGTTTCAGACCAGAGAATACACAAAAAAAAAAAAGGACGCCTGGAATCCCTGCAACGGGAGCATCAAAGCGTCCATCTCTTTGTTTCTGGTCCGTCCATTTCAGGATCTTCTCTATGCCATAAATTCACCATTCTGTTGACCTTATATGCAAAATTCAAAAAGCTCATATTTTTCTGTTCCCTTGTAAAAGATTTAATTTTCTTGTTGCCCAATTCTCATTTTTCTTCTAATTACTCATTTAGTCTTCGCGCCCTTTGAAAAAAAGAGAGTCGCCTTTTATGTTTTAGGGTTTCGTATTGCCGAATTTATGGCGACAGTTCTGCTCTTTATTCGATTCTTTGCCTTGATTTCTTGTTGAGCCTTTGATTTTATCCAACTGTTCTGGCCACCCCAGGTTGTTCAAGCCGAGTAAGACTTTTTTTTCTCCTCTATTTTTTTATGATAATTGTGTGCTTCAATTTTTTAAATTAAATCTCGTAATGTTTGAGAAATTGTTGTGTTCTAACTTGATTACTTGTTTTGATTAGTTTATTGTGTTTAATTAAAAAAAATGGCAAATTTATCTCTCCTTTGCTACATTCAAATGTTTACCTTCGATTTCCCTAGGGTTTCTACCTGTAATGGACGACGGGGAGCTTGAATTTTCGAACCAGGAAGTGTTTTCCGGGAATAACATTGGTGATATTCCTAGCAGTTGTTCAATGGACAGTTTTTTTGATGAATTACTCAATGATTCTCATGCTTGTACTCATACACATACATGCAACCCACCTGGTCCTGATAATTCTCATACGCACACATGTTTCCATGTTCATACCAAAATTGTGCCTGCCTCAACTGAAGACAAGACTGCTAGCGATGACACTGCTGGGTCGAAGGAGAAATCGAAGAAACGTCCACTGGGTAATCGTGAAGCTGTCAGGAAGTATAGAGAAAAGGTCAAGGCACGAGCTGCCTCATTGGAGGATGAGGTTATGAGATTGAGGGCAGTGAACCAGCAGCTCTTGAAGAAGTTGCAAGGGCAGGCTGCATTGGAGGCTGAGGTTGCTAGGCTCAAGTGTTTGCTTGTGGATATTCGAGGAAGGATTGAAGGGGAGATTGGATCTTTTCCGTATCAGAAATCAGCAACTACTGTTAACCCGATGAACATTCCTGGTTCTTATGTGATGAATCCTTGCAATGTGCAATGCAATGATCCAATGTATTGCCCGCATCCTGGAGTTGAAGGTAGAACAGGAGAAGATGTAACGCTGAATGGACAAGGATTTAATGGGTGTGACTTTGACAATTACCAGTGTTTCGCCAACCACAACTCGGGAGCAAAGGAGCTTTCTACTGGTGTGGTTGGAAGTGCAGGGTCCAAGGGCAATTATTCTGGCAACAAAAGGAGGAAAGGTACAATTTGGAATTTCTTTCTCTTACTTTCTTTATATAATTTTATGATGAGTACTGGAAAGTTACTTTATCTTAATTTACTTTATCTTCTGTAACTGTTATATTGGTTGTAGTTATTTGGTTATCTAGTTGTGGCTTGGAGCTTCAAATCCAAAATTTTAATCTTCTAGGAAGGTTTTTGCATAATTTGTGCTTCTTGTACTTGTCACTGGCTGCTATAAGGAGTACTTTTCTTGTTGAGTCGAACTTATTTGATGTAACTATATAGTTCATTTTTTGTTCTAAGCGTGTCAACTATATGGTAATTCTGGGCAAAAATGCTCTGATGGGCTTTGAAAAAAAAATACTGATATGGGGAGGGGAAAAAATATTTTTGGAAGTAGGGTGAAAGCAACAGTAGACGCCGGAAGTCAGCCGGAACAACTGGCGTCTTCCAGAAGACGGCCGGAGCTTGGTTTAAAAAAGCGCGCATCAGGCGCGCTTGATGCGTGATGCGGCCGTTGCGATGGTCAAAGCGCATCTGGCAGCCTGATGCGGTAGGGGGTACATAATGCGGTCTGATGCGATCCGATGCGGTTGATGCGGGCCGATGCGTTTAGTAAAAGTTTTTTTGGGCGTTTAGTAAAATCTTGGCCGCCACAGTCCCGGTCAAGGTTAACCCTGACAAGAAAAGCAACGTTGCACTGAGTGTGGTCGCCGTTAAAAACTTGGCCGCCTACCGAGATGATGGAGCTGACTCATACAACTTCTGAGTCATGGGTTTCTTTTGATCATTCGACATGATGAAAAGCCCTGATCGTACAATGAAAGAGATCAACAAAAGAAGGGCAAAACGGAGTGTAAGATGATGAAAGAGGGATGTTGAGGTGAAAAAGAGAGCTGTGAGGGTGGCGTTATAAGGAGGGAGGTGAAGTGTATATTTAATACACCTTTATCATACGCGTGTACCGTATTATCTAGAAAGGTGTAATGTTGTAATTGAGTCTGGAGTATTGTGCGCGTGTTTGGTTGAGCAGCTTTGCATGGATGTTAGTTGATGAGGATGTGACGCGTGCCTCGGACTCTTGGGCAGGCTTAGTAACGGATCTTTTTCTGTTTGATAATGGGCATGCCTTTCGATGCACTACTCGGTTGAAATAGTTCTTCGCATTAATTCAACCATATGGATTCACACTATAGTTCAAATTAAATTTTGATCTCTTAATTTAGTTATTTTATGATGAAGAAGATTTGGTGTTTCTTGATGATGATCTTACATGGGATGCGGTGGGTAGAGTTTCCGGGGCTAATGAGTAAAGTCATTTCACTAGAGGATCAAGAAGAGGAGGTGATGATGGGGTCGGCCCATCAAGAAATGATAAAGGAAAAATACTCGCTCTTGTTGATGAAGATGAGATGGAGGAAGACATTGGAGTGACTGATGATGATGAGGGAGATGGAGACGTGCTCGGGTTTGATGATGGGATCTTGGAGACATTTAGTTTGTGACTAGAGAAAGTTTGGAGAACTTAGTGGGGGAAAGGGAAGTGGGGGCTATTGTTGATTTGTCTTTTGGTTGTTTTGATTTTCTTACACGTACTTGTCTATTTTGTTATTCAACATTTATGAAGTACTATTAAACTACTTTTGATATTAATTGAAGTATTTTTGATATATAAGTATTTACAATGTATAAAATTAGTTCAAAAGTATTTTTTTTGTGAAAATTGGCGCATCGGGTTCGTGATGCGAGCGCATCACGCATTACGCATCGACTTCGGAGAACTAAACGCATCAGAGCGCATCCCGCATTTTAAAACCAAGGGCCGGAGTACCCGGTGTCTTCAAACTCTTCACCTCCAGCTTTGCTTTAAACTTGAAATGTGCAGAAGAGAGGGAGGCAGAGGGGCTGCAGCAGAGAGGGAGGCTAGCCATGGTGGTTCGGCCGGAGTTTGAATATGCCGTGTGCTCCGGCCATTTTCCCAAAGGCGGCAGCTGTTCCTGGCATCTTCCGGTGACACTGTTTAGAATGCCTTTCTGAAGAAAATAATATGGGTGCGGCCATTTTCCCAAAGGCGCCAGCTGTTCCTGGCATCTTCCGGTGACACTGTTTAGAATGCCTTTCTGAAGAAAATAATATGGGTGGTGCTTTAACTGGGGAAATTTTTTTCCCCGGAGCGTTTTTGCCTGGTAATTCTGATTGATGACGACATCATTCATTAGATTTTAGAATGATTAGTAGAGAAATGAGAGAAGATTTTCTCGAGAAATGAGGACCAACATGACTATGGAACATTATTCTAATTTAGGTGTTGTTTTATGGTTGTATGGGTTGTTCAAATAAAAATGATGGTTTTTTCTATATGATTTAAACAGATTTTCTCTCTATATTACTGAGCAGTGTTTACAGTTTAAAGAAAAGCAGCAGATTTGTCGTTAAATGTAGGAAATGCCCAAATCCTTGTGGCGCATGAGCCCTACTTAAAAGCTATTGGAACTTGTTATTGCAAAATTACAAATATTATGAACTGTACCGACTGTTTTCAAACTAATTATTTCCGCTTACGTTGTGTAGCACTCTGCTTTTGAGTATGTTTTGGCTATGATACTGATGTTTGTTCCCTTGGTAGGCGTTTGCCCATCTACAGCGGGTTGAAAAACTGTTGAGATGAGCATTATCCACAGTCCATGG